CCTATGCAAAAACAAATTTTTTTCTAACAGGATTTCAGACCTACAAAAGACTTACACACAAATGTATATATTCAGCAGTCAGTGCAAATAAAGTTGTAAACTAACTACCACACATACCAGTTGGTCCAGACTGGTTTTTACTAGTTAATGCTGGTCTCGATCAGCACAATCATGCAAAACAAAAGAAACTGGTTGACGTTTTTATTGCATCTCTCTTGCCAGGGCGAGAAAGGAAACCAGGGAGAACCTGGAGTTGCTGGAAAACATGTATGTAAGAGTCTTTATGCTTCATTAGTGGTGTTGCCAATGCAAAACCTATGCATTAAACTTTGCAACCCAACTTAGCCCACAATGCTTGTGCAATGGAAAGGAAAACATCCCACAGACTTACACTGAAGAGTGAACCCAAGTCATATCTAGAAACCTGAATATCATACAGAATAACCTGTTTGAAATAAATGAATACTTCTTTTCAGCAAGCATGCATTAAATCGATCAAAAGTGACCTTAAAGACATTTGTTACAAAATATTTCTATTTCAAATAAATGCTGTTCTTTTAAACCTTCTGATCATCAAAGAATCCTGAATAAAATGTATCACTGTCTTCACAAAAACTGTTTTCTACGTTGAGGATAATAATAAGAAATGGTTCCTGAACAGCAAATCAAGACTTTTTTCAAAAACATAAAAAAATATGCATTTAAATGTCTAAATGCTAAATTTCTCATAAAATGTCAGGTTATTCAAATGCAAATCAATTGCACAGGACCTGATGTACTTCTGTCCTTCTCAACAGGGTGAACCGGGGCTCAAAGGAAACAAAGGAGAGGTACATAACAACTCTTGAAATGACTGCCTACTGTTCAATGTCTCACAACCATTTCCTGATGAGTCAGAATCAAGAGGTCTTTTGGTTCCTTAGCAAGGGACTAAAGCTACGATGTTTTGAACCAAACATATGCAGTGTCTCTCAGCATTCTGGGATCTTGTTTGCAACTCCATCACAAATAAAAACACCTTTTCTTACATTACTCAAATAATCAAATATGCACAAAAACTGAAAAAAAAGTTGGATTTCTTGACTTCATTATGTAACAGTGATGACACTGAAGTGAACTGTTCTCCCCACTCCTTTTCAGCCAGGTGTAGCAGGGGAGCCTGGGAGCAGAGGGGCTGATGGGGAAAAGGGAGATATGAGTCCATCAGGGCCACCTGGATCTCAAGGCTTTCCAGGACTAGATGGGTTACCAGGGCAACCAGGACTTCCAGGTTACCCAGGGAAACCAGTGAGTGTGATACTTATGAGCATTTATAAGGCATGCATGATAGTGATGATGGTCTTGTCCAAATATGACACACTGTGTTACAGGGCAAAGCACCTTCAGAAGAGCAGTTGATGAAGATCTGTGCTTTTGTGCTACAGAGTAAGTTTTCATGTATTGTACTGGTAAGAGTCTTATGTCTTGTTTCAGTGGCACACACATTGAGTGAGGTTGAGACGAATGAGAAAACGAAAATAAAATATGCATTACTTTTGATATTTGCCCATATTTTTGGTTAGAATTTGATCAACCCCCTAACCATAATTACATTTAGTCATAGAACTCATCCTTCTTATATTTACCAAGAAACTATTATTCTAGCAACCAAAAAAAAAATAACACACTGAAAAAAAAACACTCAGACCTCCTTAGCAACACACCCACAACACCCCATAATCATGTCTGTGACCTTTAATTTAATTAAATGTAGCATCACTCGCTGGTTCTTCAGAAAATGTAAAACTCTAGTACTTGATTTATGTTCCTATGTCTTAATATACATTTTACATTATTTTATTTTGATAGAAAAGGCAAAGATACTCAAGAGGAATAGCATTTAACTCTATGACGTGTGTATATGTGCCTCACTGTCAGATAGCTGGAAACATCTGGAGTGGTAGGAGCTTTCAGAGCTACTTTCAGTTCCCTGTAAAAAAGAGGAAAAATGTAAATATGGTTGTGAAATCAATTTGTTGAGCCAGCATATGGCTATTTTTTATATTGCCGTTACTGTCGCAGATGTTACACCATCTTTTCTACACTCCTTAAAAGTTTATGAAATCCACACGAATTACACTTGTTGCTTGCACATACAGTAGTAAGAGATAATGGTTATTCAGATGGTCATTATCGCAAAATAAATCTCGTCAGGATGATTGCAACGCCATTGTGAAGCATTTGAACACTCTTGCTATTTAAATAAATAAATACATAAATATATGAATCATTTATTATGTGAGAATGATATGAGATGTGAAACTAGCACCGATATTGGTTGCCAGGGACTATGGCCAGATGTTTAGTTTGTTGTTATACAAAAATGTGAGTCTGTAGAATGTAGCAAATGACCAATCAGAATCAAGTATTCCATGAAAAAGAGCCATGAAAAACATCTAATAGCATTGTATCTAACAAATGCATGTACAAGTGTGTTTGATGTAGTGTAGTCAGTTATATTAGAAAACCCAAACTAAGCCCTGAGGACTTTAATATAATATCAAAATATTTTATCTCTCTAAATCAGTGGTTCTCAACCACTAGGGGGTCTAAAAATAAGGTTAAAAAAATCAAGAAGTAAGCTGACATCATGTTTCTTATTATAATTTCTGCCCTCAACATCTGTAATTTTATTTCAAACTTGTTATAAATGAGGACATTTTAAAAGTGTGGTTTCTAGACATGGAAAAGGTAGAGAAATGTTTATAATGAATATAAATCTTTCTAGTGATATCAAGTGCTAAAATATTTTATAGTGTGGAAATTACTATCTGAGGCTAAATTCATTTTAAAAATGGCTGTAGTCATCAGGGTTATTACAGTTAACTAAAAATAAAATAAAACTAAAACTCTTTTTTTAGCTAGTTGCCAAAAACAATATTTCTCATTTTTATTTAGTTTATCTTGATGTACTGAAATAACTAAAACTAAAACTGAAATAAAAAGTAATAAAAACAAATGGACACAAAAAATTACAACAGAATTACTCAAATGAAAACTTAAAATATATCAATAAAAACTATATACTGTCAGCTCAGTGATACTAAAATACCACTAGAAATGTCATGTAAATTTATTGGCAACCTGAAGAAGATTCAGTTATTCAAAGTTCTATTTTAATTATTTACTGTACATTTTTATATTACGTTATAAATTTCACCTTTACGTTTTATTTTTTATTTAATATTTCTATTTTATTTTTATATTAATATAGTACCACTCCTAGTTTAGTACCAGAAACCAGTCAAGCAGGTTGAGAATCACTGCATTAAATGTTCCTTCAACAGGCCAGCTGCCACAGCTCCTGCAGGTGATGGGACAAAGCAGCTGCCAACATTGTGAAACCAAACTAGGACCACCAGGCGATCCAGGTTCCCCGGGCCCAACGGGCCCATCTGGACCCCCAGGGTATCCTGGCAGGGCGGGGTCTCCAGGATACCCGGGACCTCCTGGGAGGAGGGGACCTGAAGGGGTAAAAGGTGAGGATTGTGTGAAAATGTTTTGAAGTTCATTTCATCTTTTGATTATAAAGTCACTGAAGGGAAAATGGTGCTTGAATGTTTTTCTTACAGGTGATATTGGCCCAATGGGTATGAAAGGTGCTAAAGGACAGGGTGAAATGGGGTTGCCAGGTCCACCCGGCCCAGCAGGTATAAAAACAAATATAATTTTCATGCATGATAATAATCCCCTTCTTTATATTTTGTTGTCTTTTTCAAGCATGTCCAGAGGTAATTTTCTCTTCCACAGGTTTGCAGGGCCCACGTGGGGATGATGGTGAGGGATATCCTGGGCCTTCTGGTCCACCAGGGAAACCTGGCACTCCGGGTACCCCAGGCAAACGTGGGCCCCCGGGGCCCATGGGGGTTTGTGACCTGTCCTCTTGTTATCAAGCCTATGGCTTTCGGAACGATCCTTTCAGGAAAGGACCTAACTTTTAGCATCGGGACAGTGGGATCATACTGATTCTATGCAGTCTTTTCTCTCTCAAATGGACATTTCTGGTGCTCAGCATTGACCTCAAGAACTCATAACCTCTAAAGAACGATGATCTTGACTTTAAATATTTGATGTGTTTTCCTGCTTGAGAATCTTGTGTTGAATGTGTTAAAATGTCTAATTTGCATGAATCCATGTTTTCGACAGTGGGATCATACTGATTCTATGCAGTCTTTTCTCTCTCAAATGGACATTTCTGGTGCTCAGCATTGACCTCAAGAACTCATAACCTCTAAAGAACGATGATCTTGACTTTAAATATTTGATGTGTTTTCCTGCTTGAGAATCTTGTGTTGAATGTGTTAAAATGTCTAATTTGCATGAATCCATGTTTTCGATTGATTTTGTTGCATGTCCTGGCTGCTCTTTTCTATACAGAAAGGGGCTGTTGAGCTGTGTTCAGTCAA